GCCTGCCATACAACAGCTATTTGCTAAGCACCGTATCATGCCTTGTCCTGGGCCATCTACATGTCACAACACTACACTCTTGTAGTATTAACAGGAGCGGGTATTTGTTTCCGACTGTTATCCCTATTTGGCAGGTTAGAGTAATGAAACCCTAAATATAATGTAGCTGGTCCAAAGTCACCCTGGCTACTGCTTCCAAGCTGGAATATCATACTGCTCCCCAGAACTTGCACCTGGATTAGCTGTTGTCCCACTTCTGCCATGATGCCCATGTGAACTTGGGCAAATCCACCCTCTCATCTGTAAACATGGGCTGAGACTGTGGACTCGAGGCCTTTTCCAGTTAATATCCACATGATTCTGCATCCTAAGTTACATTGTTCCAGTTCCATTGCTGCTGGGTTGAGACCCTGGACAACCCATCTAGCTTCCTTTGTACTTCAACAGTAACATGATCATGTCTGCTGCCCTAGCTGGTGTGGTTCAGTGGATTGAGTGCTGGCCTGCAAACCAGAGACCAGTTCTATTCCGTCAGGGAACATGCCTGGGTTACATGCCAGATCCACACCCCCTCTCTGTCCCGGTAGGGGGCACTCATGAGGCAACCACACATTTGTTTCCCTCCCTTCCCCACTCTAAAAGTAAAATCTTTAAAGAAACAACTGCTCATCACATATGCCTCTCTGGCAGACAAATTGTTAACAAGTTGCCTCTAGAAAACCTGAGAGACCATTCTTTTCCAAGGTAGGTACAACTTACATTGTTTTATAATTAAAACCTGACAATCACAGAATGGCAATTACATGGCATTTTACCATTGAGCTGAGAAAGTAAAAATGTAGTGGAAAAGGGCTTTAACACCAAGGCTGGCCTGGGTTCTGAATACACCACTTTACTAAGATAATTAACGTGAGGAATTACCTGCCCTCCCTTTACATGATACATCTCAAATGGTCATGAATTATGAAAGGAAATAGACCCTGTACATTGTCTGGCAAAGGAGTACTCGAAAATAAAACGTCCTCTCCTGGAGGCCACAGCAGAAGCAGGTCAAAAAAATTTAAGATTTTTTTTTTTAGAGAGAGATGGGAAGGGAGGGAGAAACAGAGAAACATCAACCTGTGAGCCAAACATTGATCAGCTGCCCCAACTGGGGGACCTGGACTGCACCCCAGGCATATGCCCTGACTGGGAACAAAACCAGCCACCTTTTCAATTCACAGGCTGGCTGGCACTCAACCCAGAGCCACACCATTTTGGGCTAAAAAAATTAACTTCCTTTTCTGACCCATCCAACTTCCTTGAAGCTTCCAGCACCCTCTGGCAGCTTTGTCCTCGCCCAAGAACATTTTTTCATTGTCTTCAAAGAAAGAGAGAAACATAGATGTGTGACAATGTTTCCAGATATTGGCTTCCAGAAGCACTGACTGGTCGCCTCCCATTTGTGCCCAGACCAGGAATCAAATCCACCACCTTTCCGTTACAGAACCTCATTGGCCAGGGCAGGCCACTACTTCCAAAGTTTCAGTTTAGCCCTCTCCAAATAATCAGTGTGCTCATCTATTCCTTAATACTTACCAAGTGGGCAACTTCTACTCTCAACCTAGCCTCTGGAAGCCAATTTCATGTCAACTAGACAGCAATCTGTTGTCAACACAAGTCCTACCAGGACAGCTAGTTCAACGTCTTGTCCCCAACAAACCCCAGAGAGCTGGCACACAAGAGCCAACCACGTCATTAGTGCAGTCTAACTACCAGCTCCTTGGCCTTCTTGCCAGTACCGGTTATATCCCACACCTGCCTGTTTGGCAGTATGGCTGAAAAGCTCAAATCAGACTGGACCTACTTCAGGTTTTAGAATTTTTCAGCTTTACCGCTAAAGTCCTAGTGCAGTTGCACACTCAATTACTCCTGTTCTGTAAACTTCTACTTCAGACTTATTTATCTTTAGAAGGAAAGGTAGAGAGAGAGGGAGAGAAATATCAGTGTATGGTTGCCTATTGTGCATCCCCTGTTGGGAACTGGCCTGCAACCCAGGCATATGCCCTGAATGGGAACTGAACCAAGATCCCTTACTTCACAGGCCCGAGTTCAGTCCACAGAGCTACACCAGCCAGGACTACTTCAGACTCTTTACATAACAGCCTTTTTGTGAGCTCTCCTGCACCATCCATCCTCCTGCCACGACTTATTTTCACTTGCTAAGTGACTTTTGAAAGGGCCCTCAATCAGATTTGTACCCTATTCCCCACTAAGTGCCTATGTGTCATGAATTGCCAGGTAGGGCAAGAATGACCTTTAAAAACAATTAGATGACAAGTCAACATTCCAATTTGTATTTACTTGTAAAGCACTCTTGTTGAAAACATGGATGGTTTTATCTAAAAATAAATTTCCTCATAAATTCTGGTGGCACAGCCATTTGGAATGGGTTAAGATAAAAGTTACCAGCTGCCTAAGCTTTAAAAAATTAGAAATTGTTTCCTAAGGGAAATTCTTTCAAAATTTATTTTCATACTGATCATGTCTATTTCCTTATGCAAATAACAAATAGTAACTGCACCCCTCCCCACTGAAAGAGCATTCAGCAACTTTTTCCCTTGGCTTTAGGAGCTTTTTCCCAAGCTCCTAAACTTGAAGTTTAGGAGCTTGTTAGTAAATAAAATACTAAAAAGGACGCTTAACTCACCCCAAATAAAACTGAGTTAAGTATATACTAAAACTAAGGTGACTATTCACAGGAGAGAAGACTTAAAAAGAGGTGAAAGCCACCTAACAGACTAATTTCCTGGAGGACTTAATTTTACTCTGAAAATTAAATATTCTCCATCTCAGGATCTCTCTGAATGATCATCACAAAGCAGCAAAGTATCGATATTTTCAGAGATTTTTTTTCCACTTCAAGATTAAGTACATATACATACTAAGGCACAGTGAAATAACTAGATGACCAGATTCAGATTCTAAGACCTTAGTAAAACAACCTTATTCAATGCTTTTTTTGGTTATGCTAAAACTAAGGAAAAGCTGAAGATGAAAAAAATCAGTGCTCTACACACATATTTCATGTTATTCTGGAAAACTTTATAGCTGTTAGATGTTCCAGATCATTAAAGAACTGGGATAACTAAGTGATGTCTATACACTGTATTTTGAATTTATGCAATTAGGGCAAAGTTGCATGGAAAAAAAATTAAGCTTTCAAAAGCAATTTTCAATCTTTTGTCAGAACCTCACAAGTGTGCTACAGTTGAATTCTTTTGAGGTATGCAATGAATCTACTTTCCAAAGTAAGATGGAAAAAAATTTGTGCACTGTAAAATCGTTATTCCACATTATCAGACTGTTTTGGTAAAAATATACTCCGACCCAGTTTTTTTTTCTATTTTAATTATAAAAATCTTTCATGCCCCCCCAATGGAAAACAGTCCAGTACAAAAATATACAACTGGAGGACATCACTAACTAGGATCTTGCAACTAAAGCATGTTCAAGATTCAAAAAAGTAAAAGCACAAGAGGACACAACAGCAGCACTAAGGCAGCAGCTCTTACACAACCAGGGATTTTTATCACCTGGGGGAAACTCCTCCAAATACAGGACTTGAGACCACTGGGGAAAACTGAGCCAATGAGCCTGGAATCAGGCTGCACACATGTGGAAAATTTCTATGATCACTACTAGTGGTAAAAACTATTATACTAGTATAAACCATGAAACTACAATAAAAAGCAACCAGGACCCCCTCATCTAGATGAGGTATATCTAACTAAAAGGGTGGAGATGCCATGTTCTGATCACGTTTTTAATGAACGGTGAAGTATACAAAGTCGATTATCTCATAAAATTAAAATTTCTCTGGCTAATTGACCTTTGTCTTTACCTTCCTGCTTAATACATGGAGTTCAGAAGTAACCCACAATGAGCTGAGAACCACTGATTATCACATGCTCCTGAAAGCATTAAAACCAATATAACCCTTAGGTTTCCTTACATCACCAATAGTGACTTCTAGTGAACATCTGCAGTCATTACATCAGGTCAGTTTTAGTGACTGCTTTTATCATTCAACTCAGAGGATACATGACCAAACTGGCTAACAAAACTCTTATAGTAACTTCAGAACCTGTAAATAGGCTCATACTGAAGTTCACTGACTACCAATACTCCCTTAGGATGCCTATGACTCTCCTCTCATTGACATTTGCATGACAGGTAAAGGGCCAAAGAAAGAAACACGCTTAGGACCTGTATCTTATAAAATATCCTTATAGATTCAACTCAACACAATGACTGCTTTTTTCACAATGTCACAGTAATACAAAGCAATCATAAAATAGCACATTTAAGGAAACTAAGCCACAAGACTGTTGTATTATGATTTAATCTAATTGCACAAATTTTGAAATTACAGCTCCTCTGGATTTTTAAGAGGAAGGTTATGCATGCCTCCATACTCAAGTCTGCACTGTTACATTTGAACCATATAATGAGTTTTACATCATAATGGATCAATTTAGAATTCCCATGCAATACCTCAAATTATATAAAATGGAAGCAGATTTTTAAAGCTTTGTGGAAAGTTCTCATGCTAATGCTAAAAGCCTTTTAATGGGTAACTTTGGGTTATAATGTACTAGGTTGCTAAATTTGAAAATTTAGTCACTGAGTTTCATGGACTTTGAACTGGCTTCCACCAAAACGAAACAAAAAACCCCAAAGTGGAAAGAACTAACAATCACTTAGGTGACAACCAAAAATTTCCTTCATTTTAAAGGCCTCAATTTTGTTTTTTGTAAGATCTGTTTAATCAACTACTTTCCATGGGACACGAACTATGGTAATAGTGGGTTGGACTATTACACAGTTATGCTATTACTTTATTAATTCAAAAGCACTTTACAAGAAAATATAAGTATGGCTTCCAATAGGAATGTTACACCTGAACTTGATACCAAGCTCACAGATTTTAGTTTTGCAAGGAAAAACAGGCTTTCATGTTAAACAACAATTTGTAACCAAAACTTTAATCCCAAGGATTCTCACAGAACATATTACAAATGACAGCATGAAAAAAACTTTTGCACAGTAACTCAAGGTTCAGCTCTACAATGTACCCTTAAACTGTCAGGACACTGGTATCTTGAAGTCTCAAATTCAAATTTCCAAATGAATAATGTTACAAAGAGCTATGTATTCATATACAGCAATCACATTAAGAAATTTATGACCTAAAGCAAAGAAAGGTAAACTAACTTTCTTGAAACTTCTTAGGTTCTATACTAACTGGACAATCTCTGCCCAGTGTAAAGACTAGTCGGATTTTTTTAAACCTCTAATCTAATTTAAGGGTGCAGCTTTAATTTTTCCTGCTGGCTTGTGTTCAGGCAGCTTCTGAAGGCTGCTTGTTCTACTACTGCTGCATGTTATATCCCAGCTATGCAAAGTCTTCAGTTCAGTTTTTGCCAGTTTAGTTGCCATAATACTATACATCACACTCTAGCTGGGAGGAGTTAAGAAATTTATTATCAGTCTATGCAAGACTAAAGTTCAAAGCAAAACCAATTCTGCTTAAGGGGACATTGTAAAGTAACAATTCTTGGTATTACATGCCTCATATGATCCATTTCAAACCATAGAGAATTACATCTTTATGTGACTCTTCCAAGACAAAGGTGAACAGCTAAAACATCTTAAGAATGCACCAAGCTTATGAAGTCTCAAACAAAACTTGAATTTTCTGTACATACTCCTGTCAAATGAAGTTATTTCCTGTACACCACTCCTCTTGAAAACTGGTCTTCTATTTCCTTTCATTTGACCTAGATCGGCTAAAAAAAAGAAAAAAACAAGTTCCAACTGTAACTTGGGGACAGTGACAAAACATCAAAACACTTTTATGGTAGAATAGGCTTAAGACACATTTCTGTTTTTAACATATTATGTATGCAAGGTCTTAAATGGTTCAAGTCATTAAAAAAAACTTACCTACGAGACCTAGAGAAAGATCGGGACGGCTTGTGATTTCTCTCCCGAGACAGTGATCTCTCTCTTCTCCTATCTCTAGAAAGGGACCTGAAAACATCAAGAAAAGAAAAATAAGACCATTAAGGATTAAACACAACAAATACTTCTAGTAAGTCTTTGAAAAGTAAGAACTGGTTCATTCTTACAACTTAATACTGGTTCCATGCAGCATTTCACTCATTACTAAAGCCAACACCTATTACCATTAATCAAATCATTTGGAAAACAGCTTAGTAGTTAACACTGCCGTTTCCGAGAATGTGACCAAAAATCATTTACCTGCTCCGGCTGCGGGAGAAGCTTCTCCGTCTTGGAGATCTAAAAGCAGAAACAGGGAAGTTAGGCTAATTGCCAATTAGTATTTATGGCGTGAGGCATTTCCCAACTTTTCAATCTCACTGTTGGGCCCAGTGAATGTGCCGGAAGAACTGGCACCCATCGTCCAAAAAAAGAAAAAAAATAGAAAAAAAGGCACAGAAGGATTAAGGAACCAAAAGCTCAACAAGTGAAAAGCAGGTATTCCAACCATGGACTCACTTTAACAAAGAATGCTTCACAGCAGATCTGTCCAATGCAAAACTTCATGTCAAACTAACTTCAGTACCCAAAACACCACACCAAAATGTATTCCCACAAGTAGTTCCAAAAACAGTACCATAAACCAGTATTTGGAACCCATGCAAACCTGTTAAGTCTATGACAAGACTTAGGTACCAGGTGGATAGTGTAATTTTGTGAAAACGCGGTAGGTGTAAATATTGATGCCATTAAGTGCTTACATTAGAACTGCATTTGTGATCGTCACATTTAAGAGTGTGTTTAGACTTATCAAAATTACCTTAGCTTGGCCCGCTTCACCCCCAAATTTTTAAAATTTTGAAAACTGTTAGTAAAACCATTTAAAGGTGATAGGAGTCAACAAAATTTTGCTAGAAAGGAAAGCTAAATCTGTTAGTTATTAAAATTTTTAGTTTGGCATCTCACACATGCAAATAAGTTTCATTTGAAGGTCTAAGTTACGAGTTCCCTATCACCCTTAAAAGTTTTATTCAAGCAATATATATGTACATTACCATTCAATTATGCACAGCCAGCCTTTGATCCAGAAAAAAGAATTACTTTAAGCCGCTTACTCCTTATTTTAACCAGCAGTAAACTGTATTAAGCAGGAAAAACTTACTAGTTTTGGGTTTCAACAAGCTAGAAATGGTGAGGTGAGGCTGCCGGACTGACGGCCAGGAAGAATTTGCTGAAAAGGTTTTGCCAGATGTTGCGTTGGATTTAGTTGGTTGGCGAAGGGGGTGTTGTGGATTTTTCCTGCTTTTTTGTTAGCCGAAGGCTGCTGCTGTAGTTGTTGTGAAGACATTTGGTAAATAAACAGCTGAGCTGATTGGCCAGGAATGTGTGGGCGGTCGAGGTGGCTGCTGCCGATTTGGTTAAGGTTGGAGAGAAGGCTGAGAGAAAACAGCATGCTCGGGAACCAAAGGGCGGTGCAACCTGACGACTGGCCATGCCTGGGTCATGTGAAACGACACCAGCCAAGCTGAAATGGGGCGCGCTGGTCACATGACGCTGAAAGGGCTAGTTGACTGGCTAATGCAGACTCAGAGGGTGGTGAGAAGAGACATGATGGTGACTCTGTAACGGGGTTCATTTTTATTAATAGATGGACCAAAAAGCACAAAAAAAAATGAAAAACAAGCCATCAGTACAACCATCTATTAGCTAACAAATACTCTTTATTATGATGGGCAACAGTGTGTTGTTTTTCAAAATAGCAAAAGGGGCAAGATTTTGAACTCCTATCTCCTAGAAGGACTTCACTCACCTGTAAGAGGTAAATTCAGTCCTACAGAAACTATTTTGGAGGTTTGAGGAGATGTGGAGTTAGCATCCAGACAACACTGCCTGGGCCAAGAATGATGCCATTTTCAATTATAAAAAAACTGATTTCTTTTCTCTTCTATTTGGGTTTGAAGAATAGATGACTGGGATTACTTTTTTAGCCCCCTTTATTGGTCAGTGACTTAAAGTTAGTTTCAGAAAGATTTCTATTTTACCAGTTGTAACATTAAAACAGCTGCCTGATTGATAAATATTACAATCGTGCTAATAGAAAACACATTTTTGTGAAGAGCTAGAGTTGAATGTAATGTTTGTCATTATGGAGTCAAGAAATGGAAAAAGGCCTAAATTGATGTATAAGGGAAGACTTGGAAAGATGCAACTAGAAGATGAACTAGAAGATAGATCCAAGATAGAAGTTACTGACTACCAACATGAACCTAAAGACAAAAGCCAACACTCAGCACAACTCACATACCCCGAACTATACCCAGCAATGTTTCATATAAACCTCTGATTCTTCAGTAAGTTTATAACCCACCAACAAACTTTTAAGAGAAATACCTGCTCCTATTAGCTACTCCATTACACCAAACCTCTAAACACACTCTCAAGTACCTGCGACGAGGTGGAGGACTTCTTCTCCGATAATCATCTCGAGGGCGACGACCCCAAGAGGGAGGTGGGCCACGATTTCGACTTCTCTTTTCACCATTCGACAGTTCCACTCTTACTCGGCAGCCACATAGTGTTCTAGGACAAAAACATTAACTTTAAAGCAGCCAAGCTGACTTTCTAAGAGATGAGTTAAATATAAAAAAAAAAAGGCACTTCTAGTTACCTTCTTAGCAAGGAATACTTTGATCTTACCCTATTATACTTGCTTGTCTTTCCACCCCCCACCTGTGTCCATGTAAACAGCAATAAATGGGACAGAAGATTTTTGGCCATTTGTGTCACCCCTCCCCTTCCATCACTACACAATAGTGTGACACAAAAAATGGCAGTCACCATTAAGTTTAGATATGCCATTATACTTGGACAGTGATTTAGGAAGAGGTGGGGCCCTGAAAATGTTTGCTTTGGATAAGGGAGCTTTTTTATTCAGCCAACCCTCATATAATTTATAATTTTAGGATCTTAAGGGTTAAGAGTTTTCCTTGGTTTCACGAGATCCAATGGTTTCAAATGCCAAGTAAAAAGGGCAAAGGCAATACCTGTTCACTATTATGACTCAGGTATTACTGGTCAGCCAATAACAATCATTACTAAGGAAATCTGCTACACACTCCACACTTCCTAAAAGTGGTGTCAAACTTAAGATAATGGTAAAACCCCCAAGAAACCTTAATTCAGCTACGATTAGTTCACAGCCTTTCTTACTTACAGAAATAGGATCCCACAATTGTTTTTAGAAACAATTCAAAGTTGAGAACACAGCTGACACTGTAGAATTCAAGTTAAAATGTTCTGACCATTTTTTGGATGCAGCTACCCACTCACCAAAAACTATTAAAAAGTCTATTATTTTCTTTAATGGGCAACTGAATAAAAAAACTTACTAATATCTCAACTGTTCAATCCTTTTTTTAATGGCAAATAAGGTTTATGTAAATCTCCAGTATCAATTTCAGATACTTAAGAAGCCACTTAGGACCACATACCCCTAGAAATTTTAAACCTTAGAAACTCAAGCAACATATTTTCTGTTAGTATAAAACAATGATTAAATTACCTCCCATCTAGCTCTCGGACAGCATCGGCTGCATCTCGGGGATCTTCAAACTCAACAAAAGCAAAGCCGGGAGGGTTTCTAGCAACCCACACACTTCGGAGTGGTCCATAATAGCCAAAAGCTCGTTCCAATTCAGTCTTGTTACCGTTGTTTCCCAGATTACCTACATAAACCTTACAATCCAAGGGACAGGAATCACGATGCATTTCTGTTTGAAAAAAAATGTAATATTTTACCCAAATAATCTACACAATGAAAAAGAGCCTTAGGAACAATTGCCAAAATACTAAAACCAAAGGAGTAAAATTATCACCCTTGAATCACCCATTTCTGGGGTATCCAACCTTCTGGCGTCTCTGAACCACATTGGAATAAGAGTTTTCTTGGATCACACATTAAACACAATGTGACACAGCCCTGGCTGATGTAGCTCAGTGGACTGAGCACGGGCCTGTGAAGCAAAGGGTTGCCGGTTTGATTCCCAGTCAGGGCACATACCTGGGTTGCAGGTCAGGTCCCCAGTAGAGGACACATGAGAGGCAACCACACATTGATGTTTCTCTCCCACCCCACTTTCTCGTTCCCTTCCCCTCTCTCTAAAAATTAATAAAAACATTGTGACACAATCACACACAAAAATCTCATCATATTTTAAGTAAATTTACAATTTTGTGTTGGGCCACATTTCAGTCATCCTGGCCACATACAGCACAGGACCCAAATAGTACCGGTAAGTGTGAGGAAACAGCACAAATTGCTTGAGGGAAAAAAGCCTCCTTGAAAAGTGAGGAGAAAGTAAACACTGAAACACTGGAGGAACATTTAGTACAGTATGGAAGCTGAGTTGTGGGCTTCCCATGTTATCTCAACTAATCTAAAAAATAAAGCACTTCGACAAGGAGGTAACCTGCTCAGAAGCAAATCCTGAAGCTCAAACCCAAATGAAACAATGCAAAGCACAATACATTATAACTAAACCACTAGAAAAGAGGTAAAAATGTGCCGTGTAAGGTACATTAAAACTTAACCAGCTTCATACCTCAAGCACCAAGGCGAAATATTAAATTTTTTAGTCAACCGCAAAACGATTATTAGCGCAAATGTCCAGCAATGGAAAAGCAAAATCGATTATCCATACAATAGATTACTCAGAAAAAGCACTTATAAATGCTACAAACATGAACGCAAACATGCTAAATTATAGAAGCCGGACACAAAAGTATGTTACGATTCCAACCATTATTAATGTCCAAAACAGGTAAATCCAGAAAAAGATCAGTGGTTACATTTGTTGTTCAGGAATTAACTGCACTTTAAGGGCTTGTATTTAACTTCTTCGAGTCGCTAGGCAACGATCCCAACCGCCTTGCGGACTAGTTTCAATTGCATTAAAAAGCGGCCTCTTCAATAACTCAGCTCAAGGGCTTTTTTTTTTTTTTCTTTTCATAAACGCCACGTTCTTCTCACGTTGGGCTTATCCAATTAAAAAACCCCAGATACATCCTACTTGCGAGACCCCACCCTGTGGCTCAGGGTGACCGAACCGAACCACTAGTTTCAGGAAGAACTACGGCTTAATGGGAAGGTGGTACAAGAAAAATACTGGCCACAGAAAATTGGTTTAAAGTAAAAATAAAAAAAAAAAAAAACAACTAGATTCAACGTGTAAAAAGAGGTCAAATTAGAACATGAAAACAAAAGTGAGTACAGAACACTTATGTGCACCGAAATGTCCAGTCCGGATTAGTGACTTAAATCCTAGAAGCTTAAGAAAACGTGGGGCCAAAAAAGGCGCCATAAATTGAAAGACCGCGCGGCCTGGAGTACTGTACGATCACCGGCCCTCCTCTCGGCCTCAACTCTCAGCTAATTCCATACTCCGGTTCACCTCCCCCGCCCCGTAAAGATTTATAGACACCTCCACTTCAAGGCTGGGATACGGCCTTGGGTGGGCATTAAGCCCCCGCCACCGCCCCATGCTGAACGTCACAAAATGGCGGCGGCGTCTCTTTGTCTCAATCTGGCGCCGCCATTGGGCCTGGCCCCAACTCGGCACTGTTAAGTTTCATTTGTCTTTTCACGCCTTGGGACGCCAGCCTCTTACCGAGATCTTGAATTAGGGACGCCGCGGCTTAAATCCGCACACCTTCCAACTGTTCTTCCGCTCTTCTCCGCCCCGGTCCCAAGATACCGTCTCCTGCCAGGCGTCCACGAAATGGCGGACCACCGCCTTCTCCTTGCCCTAATTTATATGGCATCCTGGGATCACATGATTGGGCGGGCTCGCCCAATAAGAGTCCGAGAAGGCCTTGACGTAGCGGCTACAAACGTAAGGAACCGTCGTTGCCGGGAGCGCGCTCTGACCGCGCCGCCTGAACTGTGGAGGAGCAAGCTGCCGCGCTCTCGTGACCTCAAACCTGGAGCTCGCTGGGTGTTGTTTCCGGGATTTTGATCTCCGAATTATTCTGTCTCCTCTCCCTCATCTCCAAATAGGCCGGAGTTATTAACACTACTGCCATCATTTCCCAAAGCTCTTATTAAGATGTAGGTATTAGTTGAATTCATTACTTGATCCTCGTCAGCGGCTTAGTCTAAGACCCTCGCGTTTACAAACGTGCTTCAGAGTTGCGCCCATGGTCACTGAGTTATGTGCCCGAGCTGCCACTAGATTGTGTGCGCCACATCCTACATTTAGGGAAAAACCGGATCTTGGAAGGTCTACCCAAGTCTGGCTGGTTTCCCGCCTCTCACCCAAACTGCAGGATTTGGCAGAGACCGGTGACGGTCGTCAGCCTCTCCTCTTAAAATGCCTAATAGAAACTCAAAAGACAAATGATCCCCGTCAGCCGTCTGGAAACTCACCTTTAGCGAATAACAATAGAATGAAGTTCCTGAAGAAGATTGAATTTAAATTCTGAGCTCCCAAACATACACCAGAAAGGCACCCGTGGTTTTCTTCCCGGAGAAGGGGGTAAGGGTGGGGTCTGCAGGCCACTCACACCTTCCTGTTCTCCACTCCCTCCGGAACAGAGCAGCAGGAATAGTTAACTTTTAGGAGAGAACTACCGCAATTGTGTTAGAAAAATCGCCATATCTCCTTCTCCCGAGCAGTGAGCTCAGCTAAGGAATTTGGTGCCCTCAAACCTCCCCTACCCGCTTGCAGTAGAGTCTGACTTATCCATTGCTAAAATATATTTAAATCTGCTCTCAAGAGGGGAAAAAAAAACCAAAAATAACCTGTATTTTCAATCATTAGCTGAAAGGTATGCCAATTATTTCTCTTATCTATCCTAGATGGTTTCCTTTGAAGCCTTATCTCTCTCTCTAAAAGGTTTTTATGTAGGGAGGGAAAAATAACGCGAAGATTTAACCAAGGCTGAGCCTTCCTTTCCTCACTTGTAAGATGGGAACTGTGGGATATGGGAATTTCATATCATGGAGGAGGCAGGGGAATGGGAAACTCCAGTTCCCAACTGGGAATTCCAGTTGCTGAGGTAGGCCTTGTGCTGACCTTCTCTGGGGTGTTGGGAGTGGGGAGGGGTTCTAGTAAACCCTCTTCTTTACTTTTTTTCTCTTCTTTCATTCTCTGAATGTTTTTCTCTTCTGCCTCACTTATGTTTGCCTTTGCTTGCTCCTCTCCCCTCTGTAAGCTTGTCTCTTCTTTATAATTTTTTCTTCTGCCAAAGCCAAGTCAGGTAGTACTGGATTTGGACTGTCTGCCCCACTGCCAGTTACTGCTAAAGTGTCTGGAAAAGAATTCCTTAGATTGCAGACTAGTACACCCACTATGGAAAACAGTATGGAATTTTCTAAGAAAACTAAAAATGGATCTGCCTTTTGACCCAGCAATTCCACTGCTGGGACTATATCCTAAGAACCCTGAAACACCAATCCAAAAGAACCTATGCGCCCCAATGTTCATAGCAGCACAATCTACAATAGCCAAGTGCTGGAAGCTACCCAGGTGCCCATCAGTGAATGGATCAAAAACCTATGGTACCTTTACACACTGGAATTCTATGCAGCAGAAAGAAAGAAGGAGCTCCTACCCTTTGCAACAGCATAGATAGAATTGGAAAGCATTATGCTGAGTGAAATAAGCCAGGTGGTGAAAGACAAATAATACCATATGATCTCACTTTTAACAGGAATCTAAACAACAAAACAAACAAACAAAATATAACCAAAGACACTGAAATAGAAAACAGGCTGACAGTGACGAGAGGGGAGGGAATTTCAGGGGAAAAGGGGAAGGGATTACAGGAACAAGTATAAAGGACATGGACTAAAACTAAGGGGGGTGGAAATGGGAGGGAGGTGGGGAGTACGGGGGGGGGGGGGGTGGGCTGGGATGGGAGTAAAAGACAGAAACCTGTACTTGAACAACATTAAATAAATTTAAAAAAGAAAAAGAAGAAGGGAAGAACCCCTTAACCTGACAGGATTAGTTCCCTCTCTGTAATATGGGATAATAATGCCAGCCTTGCAGGGTTGTTAGGTATTGTTGCCTCCCATGGGAACTTCAGCTTTTGTCTTTAGTGCTGCATCCCCAGGGCCTGGAAACAAACCTGATACACAGCACAGGCCATCAATACATATTTGTTTAATTATTTTTTCAATTAAAAGAAATACGTGTGTAAATCACCTGGTACAATCTTTGTTCAAAAAATGCTGACTCTTTTTAAATGTTCCTTTCACATCTCAGTATCCTATCCTTTCTCATCATTTTTTCTGTTTTTGTTTTTGTGTAATACTAGTCTAGCATGCATCGTTCAATGAAACTCTCTTAATTCCTCCAACTGTATTTGTGAGTAACATGTTGAACCTCCTGTTATCCACACAGACTTTCCATCTTCTGCTAACTGCAACCAAATGAATAATCCGTTTACATTCTGGAATATTTCAATGTTTCTGATTTTTTTAAATTACATTTTATCATTTATGCTATTAACAGTTGTCCCAATTTTTCCCTTTGCCACCCTCCACCCAGCTCCCCCAACCCCGACACATCCTCTGTTCCTTTGATTTATTTGACTGCCAACCATTCTTGTCCAGATCGTAGAACCACAGGAAGCTTCAAGAGGACCTATCAGAATTTCTTGGTAGGGACCAGCAATGAGAGCATGTGTTGTAGTGAACATCTCTTGATTTTCTTGGGGGAACTAACTTTCTCACAAGTAGACCATGTTATCGATTCAGGGGTGGCTGGGCCCTACCACCCACTTTTTCGTGGGTAGGGACATGACCATACCTGGTTAATTAAATCATTCCGGTTCTTAGCCCCCACTTTCATCCTCATTAAAAATGATGACTAATGCAGCCCTGGCTGGTTCCCAGTCAGGGCACATGCCTGGGTAGCAGGCCTGGTCCCCAGCAGGGGGCATTCCAGAGGCAACCACACATTGATGTTTCTCTCCCTTTCTCCCTACCTTCTTCCCCACTCTGGAATAAATGCATAAAATCTTTTTTAAAAAATGACTAATTCAGTCAGTACAGAGGTGTGCTCATTTCCTCTGACTGGTGGGATCCTGAGTGAGGGCAGCCACCCTGTTTCCAGAAGAGCAGAAGCAGCCTGTGGTAGACCCAACCTAAAAGCAGGGAGAGCTGAGAGATGGGGAATAAAGAGCCCTGGACCTGTCCCTGAAGAAGCCCGAACCTAGTTCCACTTTTGGAATTCTGTTATTTAAACATACAAGTTCCCTGTCTCTTCCCAAAACTTGCCTAAGCCACTTCAAGTTGACTTTTCTTTCCCATCAAGTGCATACAGAAAGACCCCAAACATAGAAATTACTCTGGCACACACTTTCTCACTATCTCAGGTTGAGAACCACGGCACTAAGTTATCTTCCAATTCTAAAAAATTCACCCATTACAAGTAAACTAAATACATTTTCGATTTAAGGGGAAAAAAGTTACTAATAGCCGAGCATAATACCTATGTATAATAATTTATACTTTAAATAGTGTGGTTAACTTCAAGGAAAATCCAATAAGAATATGGAACATAACAATAGTTCAGGCCTGGCTGGTGGGGCTCAGTGGATTGAAAACCAGCCTGTAAACCAAAAGGTCACTGGTTAAGGGGGTGCAAGAGGTGACTGGTGTTTCTCTCTCTCTCTCCCTCCCTTTCCCTCTCTTTAAAAATAAATAATAAAATCTTTTTTAAAACTTAGAAAAACAATAGTTCACTAACTACTTGGTTCAATGTCCTGGCAGGAAGCAGATAGCACAGTCAACAAAGGGTTGGTTACAGAGGTATGGGCAGGATTAGAGAAACCCACAAAGGAAGGTAGGACTCCCAGAGGCAGCTCTTAGGCCCAACGGGGCAAGAATGAGCAGGGTTACCCAAACCAGACAAGTGCTGTAGCTATGAAGAGAGGCCATTATGGCCTTAAGTAGAGGAACTGTGGCAGCCTTCTTGTGTGTGTGTGTGTGTGTGTGTGTGTGTGTGTGTGTGTGTGTGTGTGTGTGTTGGGGGAGGGGGGTTGTTGTTTGTTTGGAAAGGAGCAGGATCAGAGGTGGAAGGACTGGACTACTCTCTCCTCCATAGTCCCATCGTGTAGTCGTACCTCCTATAGTCTAAAGCCATCTGGAAACCTGAGAGCAAGAGAGCTGGGTGACACAAGCCTAGAGGTGAGCCTCCCAGGACATAGAGCAGAGAAGACTGGAAAGCTAACCTAGGACCATGCTCTTTAGTACAGAAGCCATTAGGCACACGTGGCTGAGTCTGAAATGAGATGTGTTATATTGGGTTGGCCAAAAAGTTCATTTGGTTTTTTCCATAAAATGGCTCTAGTAGCACTTAGTTGTCTTTAGTTTCATTTGAAACAATTTTGTTAGATTGTACTGTGACAGGTGTCATATCATCATGCATTTCTTTTTTTTAAAGATTTTATTTATTTTCAGACAGAGGGGAAGGGAGGGAGAAAGAGGGGGAGAAACATCAATGTGTGGCTGCCTCTCACGCACCCCCTACTTGGGACCTGGCCCAAGCCTAGGCATGTGCCCTCCTGACTGGGAATCGAACTGGTGACCCTTTGATTCACAGGCCGGCACTCAACCACTGAGCCACACCTGCCAGGGCAGCATGCATTTTTTAAAAAAAGCTTATCTAAATGGGTGAATTTTTGTGTAGCCATTTAAATATTGGAGATGAAATAAAATACACAACATTTTCAGCATATTATACTTTATTATTTCAAGAAAGGTAAAAATGCAACTGAAATGCAGAAAAA